GGCATCATCCCGTTCGAATTCACCATCGAGAAGCTCCCCGTCACCAAACAATAACCCAGTCCAGAATGTTGTCCCCCTGTCGTTTAATGACCTCCCCTGTCGCGCGCAGCATCTGATACTAAACGAGCTGATAAAAAGCCATAGTCAGAAGACAGCGGTTATTTTCACGACGTTGCCATCGCCGATAGAGGGGACGTGGCGCGACACGGTTGCCAGCGAATCATATGTGAGCGATCTTGACCTTATGTGCAATGGACTTCCCCCGTGTCTGCTGGTTCATAGTAATAGTATGACCGTGACGATGAATCTCTGATTGATTCAATGTTGTTTATTTTTCGGTTTCTTGCCCTCGCATATATGCCTGTCTCTTTTCTTGTTTTCATCTGCCATATACAGTACATGATGATTATGATTTGGAGTTTTGACCTGCATATACATCCGAGCGCACAAAGAGTACTTTCATTTTGATATTACATATCTCCTCAACCCGCTTCTGTGGCATCTGGATCTTTTTGGTATCCTTTACTCTGGTTCTATATCGATTTTTTCTTTTTCTTTCTTTCTTTCTTTCTTTCTTTCTTTCTTTCTTTCTTTCTTTCTTTCTTTCTTCTTTTCTTCTTTTCTTCTTTTCTTCTTATCTTTCTTTCTTTTCTCTTTTTTCTTTTTCTTTTCTTTTTCTTTTCTTTTTCTTTTTTTTTTGGATTTCTCTTTTTGTGGCAAATAGATTGGTACTTAGACAATATGAAATGCTATGTTATTGTCATTGGGAAAGAGATGAATCCTCACTCGCTGGAAAACAATAAATGACTTTCGAATACGATGATCCTGGAGTATGACAAACTTGGTGTTATATTTTTGCGGCGTCCAATGCCCCCCAGCTTGGCCGCCCGATGACCGAGACAAACCCTCATCAAGACATGCGGCACGCCACGCTGGGCCAGGATTTTTAAACCGGGATCTCAACCCCAATGGCTGCTTTTACCGCTCGTGCTTCCTTTTGTTTGGTGGGCAAGCAACGAAAAAAAAAATGAAAAACACTTCGGGAATTGGGTGTTCACCCACCAATGAGAAAATAGTATAATTTCATCTCCAACGCTGTGGATTGGGACAACCTCCTAGGGCCAGGTACAGAGCCCAGGAACTCAAAAGGGGCTTCCATAGGCTGCTGCTTGGCAAGCCGCCGTCGAGAATAAGCAGCAATTGGTGTAATCACCAAACGCGGGACCAAGGGCCAAGGCTCGGGATCGCTTTCTCGCCAAGATAAGTTAGGGGTGTAGATCACTTTTCGGCGAGAGGTTTAAATGACATCATGGGTCCAATTTTTATTTTCCGCGCCGCGGGAGGCCCGCCGGGGGCAGTGGCCGCAAGGATGCCGAGGAGAAGCCGAAATAGTGGAGGGTGAATCTCTACTGCCCTTGGGAAAATTTTTATTTTTCCATTTTGTTTCAAAACTTGAATGCGATTTGTTCAGAGGGTTTCTCGAACAATTTACCGCCAAGAATTAGCGGCAGATATTTCCTCCACTCCCGTCTATCCCTGACTAGCGGTTTGACAAGGACTCTCCTTCGGCTTTCCAGCTTCAGCTCCACCACTAGAAAAATCCGAAAAAAAAGGGAAGTAGACAGACTGCAACTATGGATGTTGCTTAGACTACACATCCTTTTTTGGGGCATTTCAGGATGGCTAACACTGCCAAAGCCGCGTGTATTCCCCTAATTCCTCCTACCCGTGAAATAAGTGGTGCTGCCCGCCATATATTCCCCAGCCTCCCCAGAGCCTCAGGGCAATTGTGTGGAGATAACAGTGAGTTCCGCCTGGAGGAAAAAAAGATTTGATTGCATTCGCGACAGAAAAAAGTGGGAAGTTCAACTTTTTTGGCGGGTTATATTATTTGCAGCAGCCAACATCTCCCATCCCAGGCGTGCCATGTCGTCCTCCGCATATCTCTTTCATGATGGGGTCTCCACAGCCTCGGATTGCCGCATTCGTCAATCCGAGCGCGTGGGAGAACGGTCACTTGGTGTGGATGCGGTTATAGAAACATACATATATAACCCACCATATTCTCCAGCTGATCATCTCCAGCTGTCATTTCTTTGCTTATCATTTTTTGAACCCCATTCTTATTCCCAAGGTTCCGTAGTGGTTGTTTGCGCTGTGGCTTACCGCTATGTTTGGGAAGAGATTCTTTGGCCTCAGAGGCCGCGCCTTGAACTTGGCTATCAGTTCTCTTGGCAGTCTCGATTTCTTGTACGTTACTATCATTTTCATGGGTTTGAGAAAAGGGATATCATTTTCAAGACTGACTAGTGTCACACGGGAAAATCTTTTTTTTAAAAAAATAAAGCCTCTTTGGATACGATCAGGGCGTAACGGGTGGTCTGCTAGATCTGCCGTCGTTCAACAAATACTTCCCTTCAATCGATCCTTTAGACCCGCTTATTAAAAATGACCCCGCTGCCCAATCGCAGCGCAGTTCGAACCAAGGCATTACCGTAGCAGCCTACAACTTGGGATGTTTCCTGGGAGCTATCCTCACCATCTTCATCGGAAACCCGCTAGGAAGGCGGAGAACCATCTTCACTGGCTGTATCACGATGTCTATCGGGGCCTTATTGCAATGCACGGCATATGATTTACCTCATTTCATCGTTGGTCGAATTGTCACAGGTATCGGTAACGGGATTAACACGAGTACTGTGCCAACTTGGCAATCGGAAACAGCAAAGTCTCATGATCGTGGCAAACTGATTATGATCGAGGGCGCGCTAATTACGGGAGGCATTACGTTCAGTTACTGGGTTAACTATGGTATGTTGAGACATCTAAATTCTTGATAAACGAAGTACGTGCCCTGATGATTGCGTCAATAGGCTTTGCATGGATTGGAGAGCACGAAGTGGCATGGCGATTTCCACTGGCCTTCCAGATTACATTTGCTATGATCATTTTCTGTTCCATTCTCAACTTGCCTGAATCTCCGCGATGGCTCGTCATGAAGAACCGGAATGAGGACGCACTCGACATTCTCGAGGCTCTTAATCAGAAACCTCGTGATGACCCCGCTATTAAAGCTGAGTTCGAAGCCATCGAAGCCACCGTCCAGGAAATGTCCAAGGGTTCATATAGAAGCCTCTTCCAAATGAGTGAATATCGTGAATTCCATCGAGTTGCACTTGCATACGTGATCCAGATGTATCAACAGATCTCTGGTATCAACCTTATCACATACTACGTGAGTTAGCCTCTTGTGGTGCTCTGTGATATCCCTTCATTACTGATGTGTTATTCAGGCGCCTCAACTATACAGTCAAATTGGTCTTGTCGGCAGCAATTTGCCAAAGTTGCTCGCTGCTTGTAATGGCACGGAATATTTCATGGCCTCCTTTATCCCTATCTACATCATTGAGAAAGTTGGACGTCGGCCACTCATGCTTTTCGGGGTATGTCACTCAATCCACATCTTGGATTTAGGATCATATCAGCTAACATAGTCTCGTACCTCAGGCCGCTGGCATGTCGATATCCATGGCAGTCCTTGCAGGTGCCAACTATCGGCTGACGCACTTAGATGATAGCAGAGCTAGTATCACACAGGCAGTCTTCCTTTTCGTATTCAACACCTTCTTCGCCATCGGCTGGCTTGGAATGACATGGCTGTATCCGGCAGAAATTGTGCCGCTCCGAATCCGTGCACCAACCAATGCACTGGCCACTAGGTAAGAACATTTCCCTCCTTCAACTTAGCTATTTTTTGGCAAATATGGCAATAACTAATTTTTCTTCAGTGCCAATTGGATCTTTAACTTCATGGTTGTCATGATTACTCCCGTGGCATTCGACAGCATCGGATACAAAACCTATGTTATCTTCGCTGTTATGTAAGATTTTCTCCCAAGGAACCCTCTAAGCTCCCAATACGCCAAGTCGTGCTCGAAGCTAACAGGTACTAGCAACGCATTTATCTTCCCCACTGTATACTTTTTCTTCCCCGAGACTCGCTATCGCTCCCTCGAAGAGATGGACAGTATCTTCAAGAAGTCTACGAACGTTTTCAATGCTGTCACCAACTCGGTCAAGGAGCCTTATCGCTACGACAAACACGGACAGCTCAAGCCTGAGTATCTTGAAGAGGCCGTCCGCCGCAAGAGCACCATCGGTCACACCCTTCCCTCAGTGGAGCATGACGGCGACACTACCCCTGAGCTCAAGGATTAAGAGGCATAGCGGGGAGGGTGATTATGTTATCGAGTTGGTTAAGTTGATTGCGTGTACTGCATCTATACCCACCGTGCCAGTGTGACCCGGTAACGGATTTGTTCGCTTCTCTTCCGGAATCTCTTTCTGAGCCCGGGTATCCTTTTCTTCTTCTCTTTTTATGATGTCTGACTTCTCTTCTCACTTGTATCGGATATGCTGTGACCCCTCGTTTAAAGGATTTATAGACAGGCTTGGGTCAGTCACAGGCTTAAATTTCATTCAACATTATCCGCTTCCATTCACATCGAAAATTTTCATATCAATTACCACATTCACAAAGAAAAGATTTCCTTTCCCCCCCCCCTCTTTTGTTAGATGAACATACTCGAAACAAGAATGGGACGTAGAATAACACGTGGATTTTACAACCATTGGGCGTTCTAAATTATTGGAGCATCAAACCATCAATTTTATAGGGGTGAGATAAATGCAACAGTGAGCCACGAGCCACATGGCAAGCAGGCGGTCGCATTCAACCCGAACGGGCAGCGGTTGGCTACCTTTTTGGTTGTCTAGACTAGTCCAAGGTACAAATGCCGGATGGGCGACCTCTCTTGTTTCTAAAATCCCAACAACGTATGGTTCAAAAGGGCAGCTTGCAGTATGCAAATTCGTCATAGCTAAGCTTTTATAGGTGAGCATCGTGGAATAGACTTCTCCCGAACTTCTTCAAGCATGAAGTATATAAGTTTGAGTTGAGCACGAAAGGCAGGTGATAAGAAAATGTCATAGGAAAGTTGGCGTATTCGGCTCGTCTTTCATGAGGATATTAGTTACTACCATGAATAATGTTGGTCTTTGCTCTTCAGTCCTTTGAGCCATGTTTGCTGAATCAGTGTGTCTGTTGGGGTGTGTTGAGCTACAAATAACCGTACCGATGAATGAATATGTAGCCTCCAGCTGTTGTGTCCTTTGTGGGGAGGAGTTGATTCAGCAATATGTGGAACCTCTTACTCCGAATATAAAATGGTTCTGCTCATTCCGCGCTGGTAGTTAGGTCTCCTCGTGCTGTGCTGTGTTGTACTAAATATGTTGTATTGAATGGCACTAATGGCTTGGATTAACAGAATCTTCCCTCTTTACTTCGGATCTCACCGTGATGAAAGTCACCTTTGATCCAACAGAATATCCCAACCGACCGAAACGTTCCATCCAACGTTCCGTCACTATATATCGTTCAAAGCGAGACCTGGAATCCATTTACTGTTTTCACCTGGCTTGCTGGCCGAACTTGAAGGCTGACCAACTTTATCTATCTGCCACTTGGCGCGTTCCATGGCACCCCCTTCACGGCCCCTTTTTCCCAGTCAATCCATACACAGACAGGTTTACACTATCGCGAGCCTTGAACCGACTAACAACAGCTTCACATTGGAAAGAATCGACTCCTTCAGATGAAGGGCGTAGTAGCTCAGATTTCTCAGAACTAACCAGACTGCTAAGAGGCATATTGAATAGGCTGCCAGCAGAGATTGTCTCCTTGATTTGGATGTATCTTCAACCTTGTCCAGCTTGATCATTGCTCCCTATCACGGCTAGCGGAGTGACAGATCTTCTGAAGAAGCTTCGACCATGCGGAATTGGACAGAACGACTATATAAACCTAAACAATCACATCTCTGCTTACCTGATACATATCAACGGGGCGAGCTATATCCGCGGGCTGGATGATGGAGAGCGGCTTTGTGGACACAGAAGTTCCACACGCCATGACATTTCACTCACATCACCGATCGTGGCAGTGACATTTGATCTTGGACTGTACAGAATTCAGCGGATACGGTTCCACTGTCAAGATGGGTTCTTGAGGTCGGTTGGAAATAAACCTCTTGATCAAAGTGGACATCATTGGGCAGGATGTATACAATCACAAGCAGGCTATCTCTTGCCTTCAGTTGTGGTGGGATGTAGGGCAGATTTCATATATGAACATCTAATTAATAAACTAATAATAATCCCAGGGACTTAAGCTTTACGCAATCGATAGACTATAAGAGGACTCACCATCACTTGGTGACGGGTTCCTATGGGATTGTGACTATCCCATTTCGGCGACCAACTTACTTACTGCAGAGACATGCTATGCGAATCCAACCAACTCTATAAGAGAGACTTCAGCATGGACTCCTGTTCACCACCTCCCGTTGCACAACGCGCAAGGTGTACTTTACGGCATCACTATTTTCTGCAGCCCTTCTGCCGCTGTCGGTGCGCATATCAGATCTGATCAACCCCCTAACGAAAGAAGAGTGAGCTGGACCGGCCGTCAGACTGGATGTCCCATCTACTTCCGGTTGAAAACCACGGACGGAAACTATCACTTCTATCTGGGTTGTTCATCATCGGGGTGATAGCTTTGTGACCCCTTTCATCATTGTCAGTATTTGCCCGCGGCTCACAAGTATAGATGAATTAATTGACTCTGGCCTAGATGAAAACAAGTGAGGGTAGAACTAGCAATTTTGGACCTTACATGCACCCGTCCGCCCTTCAGACTCGGCTTCTTGCTAGTCAAGCACACGGAAGAATATCTGGGATATAATATGATGCTTATCAGCGACATCCGTCCTGCAGTACCAGCTTTGGTATTTACTTTTGTCGTAAAGTGGTGGATAGCGCCAAAATCAACATCCCACCGCAATCTCTGCCCTACCGACATCCCTTCTATCCGAGGGTCTCCCCTAGGTATCTTTCTATCCCGCGCATCCCTGAGGGATATTAACGAAATCGAAACCTGTTCTGTTGAGTCGCGCTGTACTGGTATGATGATCCCATATACCGACGGCGCCCAGGAAATTTTTGGTCAGTGGTATGAATCCTTACCGTCAAAACAGACTGTTGTTTATGAGACAAAGAACGGCAACCCTTTTGAGAAACTTCACTTTCACCTGTCCTACGAAAATGGATCTACCGCACTTCGTCAAGTTACATTGTTTCCTCTGTAGAATAATTTCAACGGGACTGTTAAGGACATCAGTTATGGTGTGAGTGCCTTTCTGCGCTACATGGCTCAGCGTTGACTCTTTCTAACATATATATCATTTGGTGGTATTCAGACTCCTCTGATATGTGATCATTTCTTAGACCGAGGATGACGATAAGTCTGAGAATCCCACTACCATTAGATGACGGTGATTCTACCATTATTATATTAGACATAATTTTTTCCCTCGGTAATATTTAGGTTAAAACTTTAAACATAGAGCTGGAACAAGAGAATCTTGTGAACAGTACTGACCACCGCATCCGTTGCTATTTTCTCTTGATCCTTTTTTTACAGCTGACATATCATTAATACAGTGCCTGATCATAAGTTTAAAGTTCACAACTTAATTTTGAGATAAAACGGATCAATTTGAATTTTTTAAAAAATTTCTTGAGATCTACTGACTGATTATAAATAGAATGATCGGAGCCTGTTGGGGGTCCCGGGTTGATCGGCCCTTCTACCAGCAGTGCGCTGGTGGTGATTGAGCTCTTTTGCCCCAGTAGCCTACAAGTTATGAGACTGTTAAGCGTGAGCCCCGCTGTGGTCAACATGCATGGGTTCAATCCCAGAATGGACTTAAATTCCAAACAAATACCCTGGACATTTAACAGTGCCAAGAGACATCCTAGGAGTGTGCCCTAGAAGTCCCTTGAGCCCTAGGACTGAGTCCACTGAGAGGAGCCACTGTGGGGAGCCACTGAAAGGAGCCACTGAGAGGAGTACTGTACTCTGTGGTAGCTGGTCCGAGGGGGGGTGTTGGGGGTCCCGCGGTTGGTCGGCCCTTCTACCAGCAGTGCGCTGGTGGTGATTGAGCTCTTTTGCCCCAGTAGCCTACAGAGTGCTAACCGTAACACTAGTATTAAAAACCCGGGAAAAACAAAGAAAAACAGTACAATTAACCCTGCTCTGGGAATCGAACCCTTGTCTCGGTAGTGCTTGTCCCGAACCCTGACGCTTTAAAGGCAAGTGCTTGTGGCCGCCTTGTAGGGAGACTGCTAGGCACAAAGATATTGAGCTCCGAAACTTGTCGGAATACCAGCCCTAAGACCCCCCCCCCCCAAAAAAAGAACCAAAGAGGGTGTGGGAAATTCCTAGAAATCGCTCGGGGAACGCCGAAACCCTAAGGGTTGATCCTCTCGGCCCAACGGTTTTGATCTGTCAAATGGGTATCGAGCTGTTCTATAACTCTATGCGGAGGATGATGCCCCCTCCTTTGTTTCCTCTAACAGAATATAAATATGGATATCGCAGGATGGCCTTGTTAGGTCACCAGGATGGGACAGATGTAAAGATGCCCAGACGCGGAAAGAATACCAGTTATGCCGCAACGAAGTTAAATTTGTTACATTTCCCCATGCTCCTGGCAACGAAGGTTAGCTTTAAGTTTAGTTCCTGTTCCTCTCAGTTCCAGCATTCGAGGGAGCTGAAAAAGACTAATTCTTAAAATATATAGCTAACTGCTTTAGGGGATCCTTCCCGCCACCGGCCTGGGATGGGGTACAACGGTTTCATTGTGCTTGGTTTGTGACGTGGGAGTAGGGGGATTCAATTAGCTAGTGCTGCCTTTGGTCGGAGAGAAGTCGATAGAGGCGTGTAGGAATGGGGCAGGTGAAGCCTCATTTCATGGCCTATCTTTTCATATCGGGTGCGAGAGCTGAAGTCGGAGAATTAAAGTGTTCAATGGGCCTATGCTAAAATGCCTACCCTGGCGCCCAGGTTGCAAGGCGAGGCATAGCTTCGTTTGCAAGTTGCAACCCAGAGAGACGTGGAGGTAATTGCAGGCATCCCTTCCCAGACGAAACAGAAATCAGGCGCTAATATAATTGCTAACTTTCTTTCTTATTGTAGTCTTGTTTATCCTTTATGAGATCATTTACGAGGGCCTTGGGTTTCGGTGCAATTACTCTATGGGGGCTAGTTTTGCCCGGGTCCTCTTTTTATCTTTTCATGTAAGTGCAGATGGGCGTAACTGCCATCAAATAACGGACATGTCACTCCGGTATTATTAATTTGCCAAATACAGAAAGAGAGTAACATTGGAAGAATGGTATGTAATATTTGTACGAAAGCAGGCGCCAATGCCACCGATTATGGAACTTCCAGGTTTCAATTTCCGTTGCCTATGCAATATGAAATCTAACTATACTCTATAAATATGCAGAAACAAAAGAAATAACTAAATGAAAGTAACGGTACTGGAGAAACAGGTCACGTCAGTTACTCTCCATTTCCATTTTGCTGCGCAGTCCCTTTGGTTTCATCATCGGTTGAATACGTTGGTTTCCATATTGCGGCATCTCCCAAACGGTCAGCTGTCAATCCAGCCCGTCCTGGGTTCGCCATTCCAGCTTCTTGTTGCCGTTGATAAGATACGGTTCGAAGTCTTTCGGCTTCACAAGGGGTCAGACGAAGCTACAGGAGGATCACCATCGTTAGCTTTTGTAGCATTTGATTTGCTCGGTTTTGAATATGGGGACCTAAAACAAGCGGCCTCGGGGGTTTTTGATAGGGGGTTCTGGAGAACGTACATAGATTTCTATTCCAATCGCGTGGAGGGCAAACGCCAACCACATGGATGGCCCGAAAGCGAGGCCGAAGGCAGCACCCGCGTTTATTTCATTTCCCCCTCCTAAGTACTTGGCCTGAACCAGAACCTGTTTGTTCAGGTCTGCACCGGAGTAGAAGGCGTCGCAATCAGGGTACAGGGCTCGCGTTCGATTCTCTCCAATCGTGTAATCTACTTGTGAGCATAGCCTGGCACCGTAGTATTGACCCCCTGGGCTGATGATAACTGTCATGATGATCTGGATGAACCGGAGGGTGATAATTGAGGAGGCCTGAAAATAATTGTCAGTGGCAGTTTATTAAGTTAAGATAGCGTGAATCATAAACATACGTAAAACCATCCTCTGAGCATCCAGGCTCTGTGCTGCTCAAGCTGCAAACGTTTGATATTGATGTATCCCAAAACCATACATATGATAAAGAGAATCCCAATGAAGCCAACAGCCACTTGGGTGTCCAGCCCACCTCCAAAGGAACGTCTTGCGGCCATGAGGGAGAAGATTATGCTGATGATGGATAGGACAAGGATCACGTAGCCATTGATCCTGTGGATCATTATCCATCTGTGTCGGATGGCAGGGACGAATTGGAAGACGACGAGGAAAGAAGCTGGGAGGATAGTGGCAAGGTGAACAATCAGGCCGATCTCCTCGATGCCCTTCGTAAAGAAGTAGCACTCTCCGATCCCAGTGGAGCCGCAGAATATGCCATAGTAGTCGAGGTATTGTAATCTGGCGAGAGTGAATCCCATCAATGCTCCAGCAAAGATGAAGAAGAGAATGAAATTGTAGCCCTTGGAAAATCCTACGGGGTTGTAGACTTTCCTAGCCACTGCCACGAAGGCATTGGCTGGTGGGCGGCCCACTTTCACCATGATTGATATAGGAGGAACGGAGTCAAGGTGACTGGCAGCTTGAGATGTACAGTAAAGAATTGTGGAAATTCAGAGAGGACGATATGAACTTGCTCCATGATGGGAGGAGAGGGACAAGGAATTAACGTATTTATACTTTCCATTGTTCAAACAATTTTAAAAAAGATATATCCGTTCAAAACCCCCAAGCTCATAGAGCTAAGCCGTGGTAGCTTTGATACGTGCGATAGCCAAGGTGAACTATATAAAACATTTGTGGATTGAAAAACAAAGTTGAAGTACACATGGGCGCCAAGCCGCCAACAATTCATGCTTAAATTTAGGTAAGAGGAACCATTGGATCTTGCGCGGTAATCTTCCAGGATAGGCTTAGCGCATAACTTTATCTTAACCCCGGCAGCCGTGGAGAACTTCTAAGGGCATAGACCTATTATTGCATCAAACGTCCATCGGCTTGAGCTGATAGTCCCTCTAAGAAGTCAGCGGCCCCGAAAACGCGAGTTGGGTTATTTAGCAGGTTAAACGTTTTGTTCATTATCATAATTAAGCAGACAAATCACTTCACCAACTAAGAATGGCCATGCACCACCACTATTCAAGAACAAGAAAGAGCTCTCAATCTGTCAATTCTTATTTTGCCTGGACCTATCTGATCCGAGGCTGAAGCCCACCCTTGAAGGGGCTGAGATGGATCAATGTTGTGTGTATTATCTCTGTCCCTCGTCTGGCCGCAAGGCACATGGTTTTTTAGCGTGTACTGTACATTAGTGTATTAAATACATGAAAACTACTGGATTATATGATAGACCAGGTGTATTGGTGTGTTTTGGTATAGTTTATAATTAAGATAAAGAATAGACACTCCTTCCAACATCAGCATTTCAGACAGAGAGAAATATTATTATATACGGAGTACAGTATAATCGATCTTGATTTTGAAACTCTATTTTTATTCTTCATTACTCTCTTTCTTGTATACTAATATCAGACATAATTTTGAGTGAGTGACAGAGAAATTTGATGTGATGTACCTGTACATGTACATGTACAGTACATCTGAATTTGAGCAAAGAGTAGAGAATTTAAGAACTCAGATGAAACTGAACATGAAATAGAGTAGTGTCAGTGTCAGTAGTAGTCAATTGATGAAGAATATAAGTATTAATATAAGTATTGACAACTACCAACACTCTGTACCTCCGGCCTTGGAAGACTGCCAACGTGACAAGGTTCTCCATATGGTTGTATCAGGATGCAACCTGGTTGTCATAAGGTTTAGTCGGTATTATTTGACCAAGGTTTAACTATGTGTTGTATACAGTCTGTACGGGCGTACCTGGACTTCCTTTGGAATGTTGCCAAGATTTGAGTTTCGGGCGGTGAAAGGGAGGACGCTAATATCCTAATACAGGCGACGAAACGGGAGCCCATCTGCACAGGACGATTGCCCTATGGGTTGGACCCGATCGAATTTGTAATTCGGCACTTCATACACCTCCCTGGCACTAAATATAGACAACAGATGGCATATCACCGTCGTAATTCTCGCAGGTTGTTTTAGTTACGTTTTCAGCCTTGTTTGGCCACTGGTAATTACGATTCAAGGGGGCCAGGAACTGGAAGCCGGTGTTATTTCATTACGAGGCGCCGTAGAAGCGTTAAGAGGACTTTTTCCACCATCGAGCCGGGCGTAATTAATTTACTTTAAAACGCGGTTGAAGATGTCACCACTCAGAATTTAATCCTTTTCTTATTCTCCTAAAGCGCAACTTGAACTTGAGTTCGCATGTTCCGTCCGATTAGTCAGGCCTCATCCAAAAGATAAACAAGTATTCAGCACTTGACACCGAACTTGTATTGTTATCTAGGTCCACCAACAAAGATTCGAGGTTGAGCTTGTCGCTTGTCGCTTCTGTGCCGGAATAGGAAACAATTCGCGCCACTTGGGCACAAAGCATACCAACCACACACTACAAACGAGATGGTGGGCGTTCCGGGGAGATCCAAGAGCTGCGGCACTTGCAGAATTCGTAAAAAGGGCGGCGTAAGTTATTGACTTGAACGTGGAAGGATGCACGACGAAGGATTCTAACTGCCAGTGGGCGCATAGTGCGACGAAAAACGCCCAGCATGTGGGCAGTGCATCAAGCTACGACTGAAGTGCGATGGATATGAGCGCGAGCTGCGCTTTATCAACTTCAGCACTCAGCCTCGTAAGGCTGGTCGAAAGAATCCAACCTCGGCCCAGATTGCCCTACCAGTGCCGCTGGCGCGGGCAGCATATGCAGAGAAGTATCTTGGTATCTTCTGGAGTACTTATCTTCCCACAGATAAGCACTTCCCTGCGCAAATGATGATGTACGTCAGTGGCGGTTGGACAAATTCGCTGCCCCAGCTTTATCTTAACTCGACGGATATTCAAAAGATACTACTTGCCATATGTCTATCCACTGCAGGGCGGATAACAAACAACCGATGGGAAAAAGAGGAGGGTCTCAGGTACTATATGGAATCGCTCAGTGAAATGTCTGCTGCCCTTGCCAACCGGACGCGAGGAAGCATCGTTACTTTATGTGTCATGTCCAGGTTGTATAGTCTCTATGAGGTACCATCTCCATTGCCCCTTGCCTTTTATTGGCTAAAACCATCTGTCTGCATATGCTCATGGGTGGACCAGGTATTCTTCGGGCAGGATGACGAGGACAGGATAGCCCAGGCTCGTAATTGGCGAAACCATATCAACGGAGAGCTCGCTATTGTGACCTCTCAGCCACCGGAAACATATATCTCGGGATATTTGCACCAGTTCTTTGTGGACGGAAGACTTCATCTTGTTAGCATATATTTTCTCTCCTCTAGCTCCAAGTGTAAGGTGAATATGACGTACGTGCTGACTCGGGTTGCTTTCGACCCCACAGACAACTAGCGCCGTTCAGGCCCGCAAGCGGATTATTTTAAGCAATCCGGAATGGAAAAATATTCCGTGGAGTGAGATACCTAAAACGCCAAAAGATCGCCTAATCGATATTCTAGTTGAGATGCCAACGTTGCTCGAAAACCTGGATATATCGCGAGCCTGCTCAGATCCGGAAATCCAGGAATTCCAACGGCTGGATCTGCTTCAAACTTGCTGGGAATTAGAGAAAGAGCTTATAAACTGGTGTATGGAGTTGGGGATTACCGACCCGACCTATAGCCTTGACGCAGGACAATCGCCATTTTCGCTCGATTACCTTGCGGCATGCCACATCATGTGTCTCTACTGGGCCATCTGCATCATTCTATACAGCTCACTTCGGATTCTGTCCTGTCCCCAGGTAGTTCTCCCGCCACAGACAGATCCGAGGATATATTGTGGGAGGATCGCGAAGGCTATGCCCCTACTCTTACATCCGCTATCTGGCGCGTACGGGGTGCACCTGGCAAGCTTTCCTGTTGCCATTGCCCTGATGTACCTCAACGCTGTCGATGGGGAGGCAATATATGAAGAGAAGCGTACAATATTTGATGCGTTTGCAAGGTCTGGTTATGGGAAAACTGTTGAGCGTTTTAATCAGAGCATGCGACGCCAGGATGCCAGGTCCCCTCGGGTCGCTAATATGGATGGGCCGAAAGCGGTACCAGCGCAAGCTAAGTCCTGGTTTGGGGTCGAGGGGGAGGAGTTGTGAAGATACATTCAAATTCCCACATCTTTATTTGCCTTGCCGTCAATCTGTTTATTTATATGTTCTTCCTCATGTTTACCTGCATTGCGCTGTGTCTTGTCAAGGATGATTGTTGCACTGACCCGCTTCTCCACATTGAGATTTTTACCTGCTTTTGAATCTGCGTCTTCTTCTGACAGCGTTTCTAGTTGAATCTCTAATATATCCGTCTAGTTATTCTCTGATCGATCGACATTGCTTTGAAGGAGTTTCTCATCTGTTTAGTATGTGTGGACTACTATGGCTCTTTATTCTTTCGTTCTCTCTTTCTCTTCGTTTTTCTCTCTCCTGGAAAGATCAACGGTTGAGTATAGGAACTTCGATTGAGTAAGTTAGTGTCCAGCTGTTGCAACCAGCACAAGTATTTTGATATGTTCAAGATCTGAAGAAAAAAGTAATACTGAACCTCAAGTCCATCGGCTACTAGTCTCAAAAGGGAATTTTCAGCCTCAGCCCTGAATGTGGGGACACTAGTTATTATTATATAAATAGAAATTTTATGCCAAACTTCATTATCACCATTGTTAACATCTCCATCTTCTTTGTTCTTTCAATGCTTCAGAGGGAAGAAAAGCACACTGGCAGTAGGTGAATATTGCTAGAGTTGAAGCTACCCAGCAAGCCGTGAAGATAGCTATCGCGGGTTTGCAAATGCACAGCCTCCAGAAAAAAAACAATTGAGAAAGCGTCTATACCAGATATTGTTGTCAATTAACTAGTGATAATTACAGTATATATATATTCATAATTAAGTTGATGACGCCAGCCATCCCTCAGGGTGTGCATGTCGACTGTTAAAAAACATTCCAAAGCGGTTAAAAGACATGAGGTTGAATTTAGATTGCTGCCAGTCAGCATCGGGAGGAGGAGCTCCACGCTTCATTCTAACGGCTTGCTGAATCCATTGCCTAAGTTCCCCGCCCTTCCAGATAGGCCCTTAGATCCTCACCAACGCCAGCATAATTGATTCAACAATTCTGGAAAGCTACATGCCCTCCAACAATAATGCAGCATCAAATAATAATTGTGGAAGCACCTGGTAAGGGGCCATGCGCTATATACCAAGTTGGCTTGTATCTCTCTAGCTCCGTTTATATATGTCCCGTAAAGCATGGATGCCACTTCGGGATCTGGACCGCAGGGAAGCTATCCAGAAATGGCAAAAGGGCCGGTACGGTACCTGGCTAGCTACCGGGCTTGGACAGGTGCTTTCATATTTCTTGGTCGCCCCGATAGATTCCGGGTTGCATCCATGGATGGAACATAAATACCGGGGACTTGTTTTCTTAATAATAATAATAGATGGATCCTGTAGGCAGTAAGGGCCTAGCTTATAGTTACAGGTTAGTTTCATGTAAAATTGGTATTTAGTGCAAGCAATGTCACACCGCACGTCCTTCATTACCGTAAATCTAATTATTACATAATCTGAACCTGATTAAGTTAGATATGTAATTTATCTGTAATATATACAGACCCAGTACACCGTCAAACTTATTCTATTTAGCATCATGCCATAAACAGCCACAATCTGGGCATTTAAACCTAGATAGGAATGTGGTGCATACTGAAAATTTCCTGCGACTTGGCGTTGTAGGATCCATCTAATAAATGAGCTCTGACTGGTCAGCGGCCACTGTGTGGCGAGGGGGAGACCAGCGCTCCTTGCATGCGTTTTCTCGAGCCCCAATCGGCTGGGTTCACGATGTCGTCGCCCTGTACGGAGTAAGGACCCGGCGATCGACTACCGGCAGAACAAATAACCCCCTAACAATCGGCCTACGCTGTAAATAAATAATGAATACGCCAGTACATTGTAATAATACCGCGGCCCTGATACGTTGTTCTGAGTCAGGGGCGAGACCTATCCCAAACGGGTAATTGGCTGTAGGTTAGCTCAGCCCAGCAACATCAACTCCGCTTTCCAAGGCATCCAACATTAAATTTTTATAACTTTTGTCGCCGCGCACCACGCACGCACCGACCCCCCAGTCTCTATCCTATCATGAGCTGTCGAATTGCGCTCCCCGCTATGCATTATCAGCTCAGCCATTGGCATTGCGAGTGACCTAGCCTACTTCGCGGGTCGCAAACTTGGCGAAATAAACGCATCGGAGGACAGACGGGTTTGTATTACCTGCGCACCTCCACCGACCATTATTCCCCATGGAGAAGTCCGCACGACGAAAGGGTGGGAGCATGAGACATTCAAAGGCGAATGCGAATGCGCGGCGGAAGGTTGCCAGCATTCTAACTGAGGACATCGACACAGAAATCCCTACCAGACCGAAGCATACCACCCCCCAAGCCAAAAACCTGACCCCTACCCCCACCCAGCAACAAGAAGACTCGTCGGAAAGTTCAGATGGCATAGCAACACCGTCTCCCACACTCTCGGGGATGAACGGTCACGCGGGTGAACAGCGCGATACCCCAATTGTTAGCAATCGAACTAGGATGGCGAGAAAAGCATCGTCTCCCATGGCCCCGGCCTTCATGGTCTCCGCGCCCGGCAAAGTCATTGTCTTTGGAGAGCATGCTGTTGTACACGGTAAGCGGGCCATGGCCGCTGCCATTTCCCTCCGCTCATACCTCCTGGTTACTACTTTATCGAAATCGCATCGCACCATTACACTTAATTTTAGAGACATTGAGTTGGATCACACATGGGATATTGATTCGCTGCCCTGGGAGTTATTCCGACACCCATCCAAGAAAAAATTCTACTACGATTCTGTCACTTCTCTTGACACCGAACTCCTTGAAGCTATACAGCCACATGTCGCAGACATATCTATTGGTAAACCAGATGACGTGCGGAAAATCCACCAAAGCTCCGCGACCGCCTTCCTCTACCTCTTTCTCTCCCTTAGCTCCCCGCAAACTCATGCTGCAGTTTACACCCTGCGATCAACGATCCCGATTGGCGCTGGATTAGGAAGCAGCGCTAGTATAGCTGTCTGCCTTAGCGCAGCTCTCTTGTTGCAAATACGTATCCTAGCAGGCCCACATCAAGATCAGCCGCCCGAAGAGGCAGAAACTCAGATTGAACGAATAAACAAATGGGCGTTTGTTGGTGAAATGTGTATACATGGCAATCCTAGTGGTGTGGATAATACCGTCTCAGCTGGCGGAAAAGCCGTCATATTTAGAAGAGGAGATTATTCCAAACCGCCCTCTGTGACTCCCATACTTGATTTCCCTGAACTTCCCCTCCTCCTTGTCAATTCGCGCCAACCACGATCTACTGCAACTGAAGTCGCGAAAGTTGGAAAGTTTTGCAAAGCACACCCTGCAGTTTCTGAATCAATACTCGAAGCTATAGATCAGGTTACGGAATCTGCCAGCGACTTCATTCAATCCGGGGATTTTGACTCAAGCTCCATCGAGGCAATCGACCATTTTGGTGAGCTATTCCGCATCAACCATGGCCTCCTCGTTTCGCTAGGAGTATCTCACCCCCGCCTTGAGCGCATCCGAGAATTAGTCGACCACACCGGCTCCGGCTGGACAAAACTTACCGGTGCCGGTGGCGGTGGTTGCGCGATAACCTTGCTAAGAGCAAACACTGACCCAGCAGTATTGCGCCAGCTAGAAAAAACTCTAGACGATGAAGGATTTGAGCGTTATGAGACAACTCTTGGTGGGCATGGCATTGGAGTGCTGTGGCCTGCTGTGCTAAAGAATGGAACGGACGAAGAAGGCGGGGAAGAAATTGACCAGCAGAAATTCGAGAACGCGGTTGGAAACGCTGGGATTGAACGTTTAGTTGGTGTGGGTGGGTACGAGAGGCGAGAGGGTTGGAAATTCTGGAAGCGTGGAAGCAATAAGGAATAACTACCGTTCTACACAATACGGATTCGCTTTTTTATCCCTTGTTGTCATCCAAATGGAACGGATGTCATCTTTACTGGATATTCGTTGAAACTCCTGATGGATCATAACACCTTTAACCTTGTGGAAGCCTATCCTTGAGCAACCTCATCTATCCAACAATCCTCAAACCAAACACCATCTTTCTCTTCATTCCTTATCCACCTATCGAATTCCTAAGTCTTCTCACCACCATCCTAACCCTCGAACGCATCACTCAATGCGAACACCCCCTGTACTGCTCCTTTTTTTTTTTTTTTTTTTCCAAAAGTGATTCCCCATCAGCGACTCTCCTCGAATTAGAAAAATAACCCATGGAGTTTAACCCGAAGGAAGAACATCATAAAAGGAAAACTTCAAAACCGGACAAGAGTGGCATGGGAGCAATCTCGGTTTCTTTTTTTCCATCAGTGGTTCATTTCTATCTACTGAATTTTTATACCAAGCAACCCCATTATAATCATTCAATTCATTTCTGTACTTTTATATATTATGGTTCCGTTTGTTAGCGTGCTGTGCTTCTTCTTTTCGTTTTACTTTCTTGTTTTACATTTATATTTTCTATTTTTTTCGGACGTGTTTTTATATTTAATCCGCTGTTAAATTAATTTTTGTGCAGTGCCGGCATGTGTTTCATTGCTACATTTCTACTCACTGTTTGTATACTCCGGGCTTTTCGGTAAAAATAAATATTACTAGATCCATTTTTCTCCGGGCGACTAGCATCTACTGCATCTCTCTTTGGCCCGCAACGGTTTGATATCCGTTAACAGATCGAAACGTATCCCGCGGTAGTCAAGGTCACGTGGAAAGCTAGTCACGGGGTTTTCTTTGTTCTGCGTAGCCACGGCCGACGTCAAATTGCCGGATTGGGAAGTGGAGCAATTGGAATCAACCTAGATTTAACGACGTGAATATCAAGCTTTCGATTGTTGTGCATTGTCTATTGATCTCATTACTGGACAAGGCTCCAGATACAAGCACCTCTATTCTATTCTATTGTTCTTGTCCTACAATACTGAGTGTTTGGAAAAGTCACCTTTTCTTTTCCATTCTTCATTAATTTTGAGGCTGAAACTCTGATAAAGCTCAGAAGACTGACTACCTGCTTTTGTCCGCCATCAAGATATCTGGAGACTGGAGGAGCACAATCGTGGACCAACACGCTTTGCTGCTGTTTTGAAATACCATATATAACAGCTTCGGTTTGCCGGATTCAAAACTCCCACATGAGATACCAGTACTCCTCCAGGTCGTGCGGGGCTATCAGCGTGGTTTGAAGTTCTTCCATTGTTCTGCGCAAAGGAGACTGTGAGGCTCAATTCATCTATCAACTCTCCTCCCATTTGACTTATTCCTCTACGACCTTCCAATTCTTACTCTCTAGTTTATCCATCAAATCCAATCAAACAACATATATAAGTCCTTGCATCTCGCGAAGCAAGACCACCAAACAGCGCGCAAAATGAGCAAATATTCCACCCCAACCTGGGCTTCTATAACCCCGATCCCGCTCGACGATGGGTCAACTTACTATGACAATAATGACCCAGAGCGGCAAGGAAAAGGCGTGAGTGGGAATGGGACGTACCCGCTCGCCACAATTGCCTACGCGCCCGAGTACGAAGAGGCAACCTCGTACCTGAGGGCGGTTATGGCGGCAAATGAGATGTCCGAGCGGGCGCTGGAGTTGACGGGGGATGTGATTTTGATGAATCCGGCGCATTATACCGTCTGGTGAGTATTATATTATGTCATCTATGTCTATGTTGTGAAACTGGGGTGTTTCCGATTTTGATTTGGGTCGGGCTGTTGCTGACAGGAATGGGGATCTCTCCTCTCCCCCTTTCTTCATGGTCCAGGTTATATAGAGCTAAGATTCTCGTGGCGTTGAAGAAGGATCTCAATGAGGAGATTGAGTGGGTTAATAAACTCGCATTACAGTGTTTAAAGAATTATCAAATATGGTAAGCGGGAGCAATCAAATAATATTCTCACTGTCCCCTGCTTTGATAAGCCTGCTAATATGCAATACCAGGCACCACCGCCAACTTATCATGTCCAACTTGGAAGCATTTCCGACGCTCCCAGGTACCGAACAGCAATTCCTCATGCAGGTGTTCGCCTTGGACTCTAAAAACTACCATGTCTGGACATACCGCCACTGGCTTGTCCGCCACTTCAAACTCTGGGACCACCCGCAGGAACTTGCGGACGTCGAAACACTGATCGACCAAGACGTTCGCAACAACTCTGCTTGGAACCACCGGTGGACCCTAAAATTCGGTCCGCGGGGCGACGTCGATAGCGGCATGCCAGTAGGTGTCGTCGACAAGCACGGCCCCAAGGGAAGCCTCGACGTGGTGGATGAAGAGCTCATCGACGCTGAACTCGAGTATGCCAAGGACAAAATCCTTCTTGCGCCAGAAAACAAGAGCCCCTGGGCCTATGCACGTGGAGTGTTGCGGGCTGCTGGTAGGCCGTTAGCGGAGCTTAAGGGGTTTGCGGCGAAGTTTATTTTGGAAGAGGTAGATAGCGAGGGGTCTGTTGTTAAGTGTCAGGTTAAGAGCAGTTTAGCTGTGGAGTGGTTGGCGGATGTATATGTCGAGGAAGCGGAAGAAAAGGACGCGGAGGAAGAGAAGGCGAGGAAGGCCGAAGCGGTTAGGATGCTTACACTGTTGAAGGATAAGTATGACCCGATCCGCAAGAATTATTGGGATTATCGCATTCGCATGCTGGATGGGGAGTCTGTGGCAGTCGCTTGAGATGACTCTGTTGTAGGATGCAGCTTCGGATATTTGACATACATCTGGATGTGTCCAGGGAAGCTAGGTTTGTTTTCGATAACGACTGTTGTCAATAAGCGATCCCACTACATTGCAACTAAGGTATGCGAACAAAATGACATATTATGACAGGGAGATATGAAAAATCAAATTAAATAAACTGGCTCATTCACATTGGGTCGAGGCCTGGGTTATTTGCAACATTTCTGTATTCTATCCTGGGGGCTCTCTGCCCAAAAGAGTTGCACTCGATTTTCTTCTCTGAACTAAAACGTAAAGCCAAAGCAAAACAGATACGCCGTTTATACTCCCTGATGCCTAGTTCCCAGTGCTAAGACCTTTACATTCAAAAAAGCAAAAGAAAAGAGACGGGGAAAAAAAGTGAATTCACCCACTCTCCGACCCCCATCCATTATTCAGCCGCTCCCTATATTCTGCGGCCACCTCAACGGTAATATTACTTCCCCCGCAAACAATGACAACGACACGGCTCTCAGGCCCGAATCCCGGAATAACCTGCGCGAGTTTAGATGATAGAGCACCACCACCCACAGGTCCTCCATTGGCATGACCATTCACCCCCTGATTTGTCGCAACCGGCACAATGCCCTCCACACACAACCCACAAGCCAGCTCAACCAGCAAACGATGCTCATCAACAAGTCTCAAAACCCCTCTCGCCGCGTCCGCATCATCCATAACAAAGCTGTGCGCTTTCATCCCCTCAGGCGGGTACAGGACATTCTTTAACGTTCGCTCCGCAACCTGGATAGCCGCCAGCGACGTGGCCTGGGAGGAAACAGCCGGCAAGGTAACGAGCGAGCGCTTCTCGACCGCTTTCGCAAGGGACTCAGCCCCCCTCGTCTCCAGCGCGAGGATATGCACGTCCTTCCCACGACTGGGATCAACAACGCCGCGATCCTCCGCCCGGCGCAACTCCCGCTCAATCCCCAGCATGATGCCATTCATCAACCCGCCCCCACCAACACTGCATACAATCCCGTCGACGGGGAAGGGCCGTCCGCCGCCGCCCACCGCATCCCCGTCGTCCTCCGGCGGCATCTGCGCCGCCAACTCCTCCACCAGCGAACTCACCCCCTCCCACGCCGCCTCATGGTCAAACGGATGCAACTCAACCGCCACAACCTCGCGCCCGTCATCGCCGATAGCACCGCGCATCTGGCCCATGAGCACATTGCGCATGTACGTCGCGGCGGCGTCGATGGTATCGCCGTGCGGTACGGTAATGGCGCCCGCGGCCTGCAGGCGCTGCAGCATCATTTGCTTAGTGTAGACGGGGACGACGACTGTGCAAGGATACCCGAGGGCGCGGGCGGCGGTGACCGCGGCGATGCCCGCGTTTCCGCCGGAGGGGATGAAGAAGTGGAGGTTTTTGTTCTGGTTGGCGGGGCGCGAGAGGTGATGGAGGATTAGGTTGCCCATTGCGCTGAAGATATGGGTGTCAGTACTGTACATATGTATGGGGTGGGGGAATATGTGTTGGGTGGCTCATGAGCTACTACTGACCGTGATTTGAAGGAACCGCCTGGCTGCATGTTTTCGAGCTTGAGGAATATGCGGCTGGCATTTGTTAGTATTGAGAACCCCGTTCATAAATTAGAAGTGTTGTCGGGATTGCGAGTAGGGTGGGCTTACCATCCTGCCAGCTTTGACAGTGGCTCGGATTCAATCAGGGGTGTTTCCCTCCATGGTTTTGGTTGTGATTTTGGGTCCAATACCCTAGACCTGGAGTGGAATTCTTCATGGATTGGTTCCCCGTAGCTTCCCATCTTGAGGATAGGTAGGTATGTGGTTGATTTGCTCGGTTTGCTCGTTGCAAAATACGAGCTTTTCTAGCAGATGGATAGGAGAGATGTAGGATATATCTATATCTATAAATGATGTATGGGACGATGACGATGAGTCAGGTATCACAGGTCGTAAAGTATATTTTATTTCTCAAAGTTTAAAATGAAAAAATGGGAGCCTTGGAAAGGACTATAGATATAGGATGGGGGATTGATGGTATGTATCTCTTTTGGTCTTAGCTCGGATGTTGTAGGCGTCCTTTTTTACCTTCTCCGAATCCGGGAACAAGGCGAAGATCGTGACAAAACTAGGGACCGAATCTGACTGGACACATCCCGCAGCAGGTACTCCTGGATTTATTTATAGTCCGATCTCTTTTCGTATCTTCTTTTGCCTTCACTGGGGATTGAGTTTCCCGTTTTTCGCCTGAGCGTTGCATCCACCTGATCCCCATATAGTCACTTTCCCACTCTAGATGTTTTAAATCCCCCCGTCCCCCCCCCCCCCGGGGGGGCAAATAAAGTAGCTAGAAAACAGGGCAGAGGACCCTAGAAGTACATGTACATACATCCCTCCCCTGTTTATTTTCACTCCCTATGCATCATATATTCCCTTTTAATATAAGATTTTCTCTCATCTAATCTAACAGCAGCATTGTTGACAGAACAGAGGATGGTATTCCGCACAATTGCGACGCAAATGGATGTAGGTATAGTTACTTGGTGGCTTCTCTCATTCATCACTTGTATGTATGTACAGTCCATGTACAGAGTCAAGTCCGGTACAGAGTCCGGGCGGAGGTTGTGAGAAATTCCCCTATTCACGTACATATCGTACAGTAACTACATGTACAGTACTACCACCCGCATATCCAAGACATCATGATGACGTGCGAGTGGGTATTTTACTAGTTACTGTACTGCGTATGCTACTTTACTTGAGAGCGACATCTCTTGCTGTGCTGTGGCATTATTATTGTAATTGTCCTTTCCCTGTTGAGGCAGAACTTCCCCAGCGAAACAAAGAACATCGCGGGCAACCCAACCGGCGGCGTTCTAGGCGACATAGTTGTAGAACGTCGGGGGGTGGGGTGGTCGGATTAAAGTTTCCCGCGGAAAGTTACTGCTCGGCAAGTGTTTTCCGAACCGGCTTGACTGCCGGATGGGTTCCTAATTGTTGATTGCCGGCACTGGAATCTGTGCAGACCTGCCACATGTATGTATAGTACATACATACAATGTACTATATCAAGACACATCGATTCCAAAGGAAAAGGAGTTGTTTCTCTTGAATGAAATCGGCTGAGAGAATGATGGGCCATAGTGATTTAGTTTGAGCGAGCATTTCTTCTGATTTACGTAATGGATTTGACTGACAGCAAGCAGGCAAGTATATCTAGAGTAGAATAATATGATACAAAGTAGGAAGGGGGTTTCAGATGCAGGCATATGGTTTGGCCGTGGATCGCGTAAAACTGAATCGGCGGCCACGTTCCAGCCGGGAGCCTTGTACTGCACATACAACCAAGCCAAGCATGAGGGGATTGTTTCCCTGGGGTATCTGTACTCTATACAGAAGAGCTAGACCGAGGAGTCGAAAGTGGAAAAGCGTCGCAATCACCATAGTAGTAGCAATCAAGGATTGTCACCATATTCAAAACTTCGAGGATTTTTTTTCCGCCTGGGGAAGATGATGTCTGTCCGACCGTTCTAGACCTGGGCTGAGGCTCAACGGTTTTGGATCACATGCGCATGAGAAACCATTGGCATTTTGCCTTTTCTTTACTTTTTTTTTCTTGTCTCCCTAATCACCTGATTTCTTTTCTTTTCATTTTTCATTTTTCATTCATTCAACTCCGAGTGTTAATCCATCGTATTGATCAGAAGATCGCCTATCACCGCCACTCACGCCTCGCTTATAAGCGGAGGGAACAAGGTGCCGGTTGTCCCCTCTTTGAGATCCACAAGGGGAACTCCGTAGTCACGGTCCGCTCCGAGCTTGGCAGCGTTGAAATTGCGCTTCTCAACTTCCGCAACACCGAGCATGTCCAGCAACTCCAAGGATTTCTGCGGCATGAAAGGTTGCAAGAGGATGCCGGCTATGCGGAGCGATTCTGCAGTTGTGTATAGTACATCGTTTAGTTGGTTGGGGTTGTCGGCGCTGGGGTTTTTCACGAGGGACCATGGTTGCATTTCGTGGAAGTATTTGTTTGTCTGGATGGGTTGCATGGATACTGTGGTTAGTACTTCGGGTAGGGAAAGAAAGGAGGAAAAAAATATAGAAAAGGAATGGAAGAGGGATTGGAGATGCTTTGCACCTGGTATATAATTTCCATAATACTATTCAGCGCCCTGCGCGGGTCAAGCTGCTCCATCTCCGCTTTCACTCGCTCCGGTATCATCTCAAGAAGATCGTGATGTTTATCCCTTGTCAACTGGCCCTCAGTCGCCATGACAATACTGTCTCTGACATTCCACTTCTTCCCCCGCAGAAGCCGACTCGTAAGGTTTCCGATGCCCCACTGCAAGCCCTTCTTGTACCGTTCGATGATATAGGAGTTTTCATAGTCCGAATCAGAGGACTGAGCGCCGTCAATCGTGAGGTAGAAGCGCATCGTGTCGATGCCGAATCGTTCAATGGCAAAGTTCGGATTGACCACGTTGCCAGTGGACTTGGACATTTTCTCATGGTTAATTGTCCAGTGACCGTGTGCTAGGATTTGGCGAGGGAGTGGAAGGTCTAATGCCATCAGGAATGCGGGCCAATATATGCAATGGAATCTGCTCCGAAACGAGTATTAGTTTTTTTTGCAATACGTCTATTTGTGGACGCTGGGGGCTGAGTCCGTGATCGATTCCACTCACCGCAGTATATCTTTGCCAACTACATGCACATTTGCCGGCCAAATCGATTTAGAACCATGGGGGAAGGGGTATCCTGCATATGTTATGTAGTTCACCAGCGCATCCAACCAGACGTAAATGACTTGAGACTCGTCATAAGGCACTGGAATTCCCCACTTCAACCGACTGGCGGGTCTCGAAATCGATAAATCCTGTAGTCCCGACGAGACGTCGCTTACAATTCCATCCATGTAGTTTCTCGGCGTGATGAACCCGGGATTCTTCCTGAAATGCTCAAGCAATGGCTCCTTGAACGCCGATAACCGGAAATGATAATTCTCCTCTGACGTCCACTGGACTTCTTTCCCGGTTTCAACAGACGTCTATGGGAAGGATAGAATGTTAGCTAGGGGCAACCATTGAAACTGACAAGGAGGAAACGCACAATTATTTTCCGTCCTGTTGACGGGTCAAGGGTCGGCTGGACTGCTGAGGGAGGATAGAATGCTTCGTCACTGACGGAATACCATCCTTCGTGTTTCGACGTGTATATATAGCCCCGGTGGTTGAGCATGTCCTACCCAGAAGTCAATATTGCCATTTCATATGGGATTTGAGATATCGCACTCCACATACCCAAAAGTAGCGCACTGCCTCCTTATGCTCGGCGTCCGTCGTCCGTATAAAATGGTCGTACTCCACATTTCCTTTTCTAGCAAGATTCTTCAATCTTGTTAGAAGGAAATTGCCATCACGATTTCCCAAACAACGGTCTTCGGATTGGCTATCATACCTTAAACGTCAGGCAGTTCTGATCGCATAGCTCTTGCGGTGTCATCCCGAGTGCGGCCGCCGCTTGTTGAATCTATACCCCAAAATTTCCAATGAGCGCTGTGTCTAAAATACGCCATATCCGATCCCAATCAATCATACCTTCAACCCATGCTCATCCGTACCCGTAAGGAGCTTTGCATCCGTATTACCCAATAGAATCTGCCACCGTTTCAACACATCTGCGACTATCATGGTATATAGGTGGCCCACATGCGGAGCTACGCGCAACAAAAGAAAAAAAAGAAACCAGTTAGTATCTTTCTATGTACCCAATTGAACAACTAATTGGAGAAACAAAGGAATAGCCAAATCTCACCGGCATTGACGTAGAATATAGGCGTCGTGACATAAAATGGCTTCTTATCGGCAGCCTGTGACGGTGCTGTGCTGAGAGCCCGCCATTGCGGTCTCCGACGGAACGAATTTCTGCATGGTGAACATATCCACGGGCGCCTGTTTGTTGGCTTTGTAAACCTCGCCGCTCGGGAAATAGCGCGAAGCCCGAAGTCTAGCATAATTGCCTGGGCTTTTGTGAGCTGGGATGCAACTTGAACAGCGAGTTGCGGCGAGAAAGTTGAGTTCCGGGAAACGAGCACGTGGTCCGAGCTTCTAGAACAACCCCGAAACAAATATTTTCCTTTGACACCACGTCCTATATTTTATTGTCAAGGCATCCTTAACAATCAACATAGTCAACACTGCTGTCTACTGCGTACGGCTAGATATTGGCAAAGGCCTGTTCTACTAGAAGCTCGTGAGAGCTGCACATTTACTTGTTTTTACCTCCTGCATTTTTGCCAAACTGCAAGTCAATCAACACACCCACCACCTCTACCATGGCGCAAGTGACGGAGGATACCCTCACTAAGATATCTACGGAGGGTACGTCTCTTAAATATGTAAAATACCAGAGTATTCCATGTTCCCGCATCTAACCTCGCAAAAACAGCCGCCTCAGACTTCGTCCAATCCTTCTACCCCGCCCTCCAATCCGCGCGAAACACCATCGCCTCGTACTACGCCCCCGCCCCAACTCTCTGCAAAATACTCTTCAACGGCAACGTCGTCGCATATGGGTCCTCCGTACAAGAAATCTTCGCAAACCAAATGCCACCCGCACACTACGAGGTACACTCATACGACTGCCAAATCATCAACACGAATTATCCCGCGATTCCTGCGGCATCATCCACCGCAACAGCCAGCGCAAAGCCATTATCGAGCTCCGCAGCGGCAAGGAATATGTCAATCCTGGTGATTGTGAATGGGTCTGTGAGGTTTGGGGAGGAGAGGGGCCCGGGAGACTTGTCAAATCGGGGATTTAGTGAAACGTTTGTTCTGGTACCGAATACACAGGCTGATGCTGGGGGCTTGCAGGCTAGGGGGAAGAAACATTGGTTGATCCAGAGTCAGAATTTTAGGTTGGTTGTGTGAGACGTTTATAGGAATGGGAGAAGAGGAGACTGTGAATATCTGAAGAGCTTATATTTTGGGAAGAGCTTGTTGACCGTCCATGGCTGGGACGATATATGAACTTTCTAACATGCAAGACAGCTGGGATTATTTGAAAGGAATACAAGAGGAGGCATGTTGGACTAGGAATTTACCCCGACGGCCTGCTCGAACTGAATATACAATGCAATACTAGCGCCATATCCGACGGGAAAGGGAAACGAATCAACATAAGGTATATCTAGGCCAACCACCAACACTATTTTCTCGGATGTCTCAAATTCGCCTTCACGCGTTCGACCAGATCCTCTCTTGACGCAGTCGAACTTGGCAGGAGACCGCGCTGTGGGGATGGATTGGTTACGTCAGATGAGAAATTCTTACCCGCATAAATTTACCTGGGGCCTTTTGGGGCGGGGGAAACGGCTTAAATTGGACCAGCACATACCGAACTAAGCCACCGTCTCAGTTCCTCTATTGACCAGTTTTCTGGGTCTTGAAAGATGGGTTAGCAAGGGTTGAGTGAAAAGAAGGACCTGTGGATATCTGGGATTGGAAAACAACATACTTCCTGTTGGGTCTGGTTCTGCGGGAAACATATCGCCACCCCAGATCGTCCATGCTGCCGCCGCTGTTACAAGACCTGCGAATCCTGCAAATACAGTCAGCTAAACAGCCGTGGAATGATTTATTGTATTGTTTGCATTTACCAAGGAATAGATTCTATCGAGCAGTGGGAATTAGCATGGATACATACTGGATTATAATAATAGTTTGCTAATATGTATTTCAGTAGCTGTACCTTTGAATTCAAAGCTTTATCCAACGGAGTAGGCATCTTGGCAACTATATTTTCTTATGTATAATCTTGACTTATAAGGTAGTAAAGGTATATCGATTAACAAGGACACATTCCCCCTATCAAAACAGCGTCGCCTAATATTCTTACATAATCAGATCCATCCAATGCCAAGCCTCATGCATGGGCCTACCTACCACATTAGGCCGTCCTGCAACCCTAATCAATCGAGCCCTAATCAATCTACACCGCACGCACAATCGGAGCAAGCTGAGCCCAAGCTTAAGAGGAGAAGTGAAGCTTTAATTTACGACAGCGAAACTTGATATCATCAGACTGACCGACGTCCCACCTCCATCTCCCATATCCAACCTCTACTCACCAATTCACACCGCCCACCATGCCTAGCGAAGTCTCAGATATCAAGCAGTTCATTGAGATCTGCCGGCGGAAGGATGCTTCATGTCTGTCCACCCCCTCCCTTCCCTACCCCAATGAAGCTAGCAATTGCAGGCAGATAGGAGACGGGAGCTGTGTTGGGAGAAAATACAATTTATGGGAGGAGATTCATGGAATGCAATAATGATGGAGTTGAATAAGTCATATGCTGACTTTGGAGATGTTTTTGCCTACTTTTGAAATATAGCTGCCCGTATCAAGCGCAACCGCAAGACTTCCCAGATCAAGTTCAAGGTCCGGTGCCAACGATTCATCTACACCCTCGTCCTGAAGGATTCCGACAAGGCAGACAAGCTCAAGCAGAGTCTACCACCCTGTACGTTGCGGTCTCCGTTTCCCACTTCCTTTTTCTTGATTTCTTGTTGCGTCGGGAGGTTCTGCAGGGAATATAAAGTCGGGATGATTAAGGATTTTTGGGATCATGATTCGAGAATACAAGAGCTAACAATGTGCCACCATGACGGTATAGCCCTCAAAATCGCCGATGTCTCCAAGGGCAGCAAGAAGTCCACCTAGACGAATGGTTTTCGGGGTTTAATGAAGAAGGGAGCGGTGTTGCTGAGGGGACTTTTAAATAAATATAAAATATAATATTTGAACAAAAACAATGAATAACAAACCTTCCATCGAATACACGACTTTTTTCAACGGTAAACTGGGGGGATATATCCATTTGGCATTGACCGTGTGAATATACGTTTATCTCATTCTCTTCTTTCGGAAAGGACGAAACTCTCAAAATGGAGATGATAGCCCCGCTCAACGAAAGCAAAGTTGTCAACGGAAGCCAGGGTGCTGTGAGGTTTCTTACTTCTTTTCTTCATGTCGACATGGCAAAACCATTGTCTTGAAGAAAAGCTCCACCTACTACTACCTAAGTGCTTTTTTGGGAGTTGATGTAGTCAGTGAATGACTCCAATATCGAACGAATGATATGCTCAGAGCCCATGGTTTCTTATAAAATTTTGCCTCTTTATATACCTCTTTTATCTATTTACTTCTCATTTTATGAGCTCGTGGAATGCCTGTCGGTGTAACACTGGCTGATGCCATTTAGTCGTACTTGACATTAACCCGGATGACCTCATTTGGGGATGCTTCTTCTTGCCATTGACAAGGCCTCTGGAACACCTGCGCCTGTCAGGCCATCTTCCGTATATACAGTTATTGCTGTCTAAAGCGATTCGCGATCTCATTGATATCATGCCAATATTAACATCGTCGTGAAGCCCACTGGCTCACTTTGTCTATATTTCTCTCTTAAGAAACCTTTGAAGTGACCGTAAGAACCCTAATCGCCCCATCACCGCTCATATCTCATCTCAGTGCATTCCTCCACCCCACACCTTCTCAACAACTCCCCCCCTTCAATCCCCCTGAAACCTTCCCTCCTTAACTCCACCTCCCCAAACACATTCGGCTTATCAGACACCTTCCTAAACCCCAAGCTCTCAAACAAGGCTAAACTCCGCACATTATCCGCTCCAATCTTAGCGGACAGATATGCTAGCTTCTCCCCTACCACTTTTCCTACTTGCGCCTCATCCCGTCTCGCATCATCGGCAGTATGACCGCAAGACACACCGCCAGAAACAGGCGCAGAGGACGACGGTAAGGAAGAAACAAACCCCCTCAAAATGTCCCTCTCATGATCCGCAATATACTTCAAAAAACATACCAGCCCTGCCTTTCCAAACCCTTTACCCTGCTTCGCTTTCTCTGCAATCATAAGTTCTATTTCGCCAACGACTCTTGCGCCGCCGCGGTTGGCAGCAGAAACAATACCATGGTCGTTGCCACCCTCCTCCTCGCCCTCCTCATCTAATCTCAAAAACAGATTCACGTCTCCCAGCATTGACTCTGGGGCATCCAAACATGGGTCAGCGAGTGCTCTCGTAGTACCTGATGACTCTGCGGGCGGGCTGACGTTGATGTCTGTAGCAATCCGAGCTGGTAATGCGGATGGTGATAAAGAAAATGTTTCATGGACCGGTAGGCAGATTATAAAGGTTAATTTATCCGCGTCGGTACGCCAGCTGGCTTGCATGGCATATTCCTCTTCGAGGGCTAAGGGTTCGGAGGCGGTGGCTTGTTGGATTTCCTAGGTTTGTATTATTTATTTATTTTTGACAAGGTGTTACTGATAGAAAAGTGGAAGAAATCGTTATATGCTATACTCCGTATGTACGTGTACATTATGTATCCGTAGACATGTGTACTGAAGTAAATATATTGAGAATATGTACACTGTATGTTGCATATACGTACCAGATCCTTCATCCACTCATGGTAGCGCGGCACATGGTGTTTGCAGTATGGGACCAGCAGGACGCGGGAAGAAGAGAGGGCTATAAGGTTTTTGTCAGTTTGGGTAGCAAGTTGAATAGATCAGAGATTGTTAAATTCCCAAACATTGAGAACTGCCCAAGGTCTGCCTGTGGGTGGGCAGACAGGGCTATAGATTAATGCCATGACGTACGTACCGGTCTTTTCGTTGATGAACATAATGAATCCCTATAAGAAACAGATAAAAGTTCTTTTCAAAAGTTCCTTTAATGTACATACATATGTGTATATGATATGTTTTGCCCACTTAAGGGATTGAAATGTGAAAGGTTATCAAATTTTCATGACCAGTTTGAAGTTGAGAATGAATGACCTTCAAAAAGTCACAAATGATTTACTCATTTTCTTCAAGCAATAGAATACTCAGAATTACTCCTGTATATTCAACTCTTTTAAAATATTATTATTCTCACTATACTATTCTTTCAGTATATTAGAGAACTTTATTTTAATTCTCTTCTATTTTCTAATCTTCTCTTTCTAATTTCTTATCTGCAGAAATAGAAACAGAATAACAAATTAAGTTAACTATAGAAGAACTTGATATAAGCTTTACAAGCTTCACAGATCTCAAGAATTACATTATAGACTAGCTGCTGTAAGAATTGCAGAGGTTTTCAATATAAAAGACTTGAAGAATTGATAATAATCTGATTTTTTGCTATCTAATGAATTCTTAGATACAAAAAAAAGGAAAAGAAAAGAAAAAGAATTGAATATCATTATATCTCTTTTAAAAGAAAACAAAACAGTAAACAATACTTGTAGGAAAAAAGGAAAGGATTTACTCTCAAGGATTCCGCAGGAAGTATCTAGAGCTCATGAGACCAATCAATCCTTGGCTCTTTCTCTAGTACATACATTGAGGCTTTTCGAGATGAGCGCCTGAGCAAGAGCACGAGAACACGTGATGGCAGCAATAGTCATTATCGTATCGGCTCTTCGTGTATAGTTGTCCAACTGAGTTCCATGGCGCTATTCCTTGAACTTTGAGGTGGAATTCTGACGGAGCAATTCCCTACACCGCTCCAGGCTGCTCTGAGCTTTCGAAAGTTCTTTAGAAAAGGTAGATCTGTTCTTCCCAAGCCTTTTCCTCTTTAGTCTGAGGTTCGGTGATATCGCAGATAGCGCATTGTGCATCTCAGCTCGTTCAAAATCTACAAGCATAGGGCGATTGCAGTCCTCATTCCATAAAATATTTCGTGGCTCGACATCACGGTGCAGTACACCTGCAAGGTGAATTGCTTGAAGAGACTGTGATGTCATCTCAATCACGCATGCTGAATTATCCAATTTCATAATTTCCAAGATGAGCTTTCCCGCCCAGCTCAAAAGGAGCATATGAGTATAAACTCCCTTGTCATAGTAATATGGGTATTTTGGGTCAAGCATGACAATTCTGAGACAAACAGGAACATAGTTTCCTTGAATATTGTGAAGCCTATGATACACTTCATTTTCATGTTCAAGTTTATGTGAATTGTTGCATTCGACGCCCTTTGCAAGTAGAGTGTAGCCATGCAATGAAAGATGGATTTTAAAAGCTGCTTCACAACTTCCCTTCTTGTAGAGAGAGCAACAGTTGACATCCAGGTCATGATCCCTGGAGAGCTGCTCTTGAATAAGAGTACAAAACTCCACTGGCTGAATCTGTGGCTTAAGGTGAGCTAGATAGTTCGGGCAGGAGGTGTCAAGTGAATCATTGTCTTGTAGAGCCAGCAAGCACTGCTGAGAACAGTAAGGTTGGCTTTTAATCTTTGGTGATTCAGCAGCATGATCTATCCAATTCATATCACTATCTTTGTTGAATTGCTCTTTCTTACCAGATTTTTGATCTGGGTTAGAGCAGGCTTGAGCATTTACAGTTTGTTCATGACGTGTGGATGGTGACAATGGAGATGGAGATGGAGATATTGAGGGGGAAGGGCTTCTTGATTGAGGTACAATATCTGTGTGTGGCCGGCATCTGGGTTGTAATATCATCTGAAAAGGAGAAAGCTTGGTAGGGCGTCAGCCCTGATACAGAGGTGAGACATTCTTCTGCTGAGCAGTTGGAGGTGTTTGCTTCAGAATATCTGAGTATTCAACTGATCAGATGCCAAGTTCTGTGACAGCATCATACCATTCTTGCAGGACAGAAGGGGACACTAGAGCTCTTAAGATAAATGATAGTACCTGAGCGACGGCAGTTAAATGGAGACTGTCATCATTGATTTCTTGAACATCTTGGCTGGGAGTACAGACAGAACACAAGACAGATGACAGATCATCAAGAATGTGTAGAAAGATAAAGGCTTCTCCAGTGCATACATAGCTGTACCGGACTCTCTTGACAATCATGTAGAAGAACAACTGTGTGATGACAGCAGCGACTAACTGCTTTGAGTAGAAATCAGAATCATCTGAGTCCTTATCAATTACTTCTTTGGAAGGATGAATGTCCTGAGCCAGCCCTCTCACAATTTCATTCCGAGTGAGCTTGTGGGGTGCCTTGTACTCAATAGCGAGCGCCGGGATGTGCTCATCACCATCCTGGCGATAGATGCAGAATCGATCTGCCTGTCCTCCTGTGACCATTGTGGTCTCCTTTTTCTTTGCTTTATTCTTCTTGCCCATTCTCTTTCCAGTACTTGATTCAGTCCCAACCATGGATTCAATAGATGACTGCTGATCACCCGGGTTCAAATCAGCCGCCCGCACTGAAAGCCCAAGGTTAAGATGGCTGTCAAAGGTAATCGATCCGCGCAAGCCGAATGCTCTCTTAAGCTCGTCATTCTCATATATTCGGTCTATTATGGCCCGCACTTGATTTTCTACCGTTTCCCGTTCATAGTACCGAAGATCCCATTCCGAGGAAATTGGGCTGATAAGTTGGCGGACGTAGTCAAGCTGATGTAGAGAGGGGAAGAGCTTTTCTGTCAAGAAATGAGGATGCTGATTGAGCTTGTGCCACACCTTCATTTGCTCCTCATTGAATGTGTCCCACAACGTGATGTGAGTTGGAACCCTCCGATTTGTTGGTCTCGTTACCACGCCTTGAGTTGTTTGAGTAGGGTCAGTCACGATCTTGATCGCGACTAACAATTCATGGCAAGCATGTAAAAAGAGAGGCAGTGTTGATGACTCTGAGCTCGCAGCCAAAGTTTCTGCTTCTTCACGTCGTTGTTGCTCTTCTTCACGCCGTCTTCTTTCGCTTCTCGCCTCAGCTTCCGCATCTTGACGCCATTGTCTTTCTTGATCAAGTTCAGCTCTTTCTCGCTCACGTTCAGCTCTTTCTCGCTCGAGTTCGGCTAACAATTCTTGTATTTTCGGATCCATTCTAAAGTCATAATCTTATAGTAATGTCCCAACAGTGCTGTATGTGCTTAATTACAAATTGGAAAGCGGAGGAAATGTGGTAAACAAAACAAAGTGAACGGAACGGATTATCTTACTTCCGGGCATATTTGGCGAAAAACCACCCTGCAATGCTACCCAAAGCGTCCCTACGCAGCGTAGCATGTCACCTTGTCCAATTAACCAGCGCCACATAACCACTAGTTATTTAGAGGGCCAAAAAAAAAAAAAAAAAAGAGGGGGAAAAGAGTCAGCAATGATTTATCCTTCTGTACTCCGTACATACGCCTCAGTGTCTTGAGGGCGCCGAGTTCCACGATGTCGAGAGATTACCAAAATGGGAAATTAGGACAGGGAGAATTCACCTATCGATGCTGTAACTCGGTCACTAATGCAAGTTCCAGCCTACTCTCATTGAGGGAAAGTTCCAGCGCGCTACGCTTAATTACGGTGGCTATGCCCCTCTTCGCATTCATACCTGACATGCTGCATCTCATAAGTGATATCTAAATATGCAATAATATACTTCCCTCCAATAGCTAAAAGTCACATAAACATGGTTAAATACTCCCCAGCAATACAACCCTACTCCATTTTCACATCCCTATCACGATGGTTCTCCGCACTCTCCTTCTCAAAGGTAGCAAACTTGACAACTTCCACTTCCAACGTCTCCGCATCAACAAGTACGATCTCGCCGGTCTCGCTGAATTTCGGAAGCGCTATTACGCGTACGCGGGTACTCTGCTCTTCACCGTTATCCGAAGAAGAGAGAGCGGCGGCGGAGCCTTCGACAATTCCCGTTCGGAAACTTGGTTGGTTCCCTGCGAAAAAGACGTGCGGACAGGCCTGGAGGGTGAATGGGTCGTGGGATTGATAGGGATAGCACCCTGGGAGTGTAAAAGCAGGTTAATGAGTCCAGTTCAATTTCGTAGGGGATACAAGGAAAAACGTTGAAGATAACGAGGGGTTAGAAGGAAAAGACATGAAAAACACGTACATAACGTATCAGGGGCGGTGGGTACAGCGCAACGCCACCTTAGCATGGTTTCCATTAGCTGTAATCGCGCCTCACCATCTTTGTCACTCTCACTACCCTGGATGATATCCCCTTCGGCCTCCAAATCTATATAGCGAAGCACATCATCAACATTCTGTCCACTGCATCCCCAAAACCGCCAGCCCTCCACCTCGCCCTCCCAGGGATTCGTGACATTATCTAACCAGCCTGGGTCTGCGGCCTGCTCCGCCGCTCCTGGGCGCGCTGCAGAGCAATAGGCCTTTGAACGGGGAAACATTGCCCTGTGAATTTCCTGTTGGGGCAGTGAGAAATTCGCGGGATCGGTTTCGCCAGGCATAAGGGTAACGGGAATACTTGGAAGAATCTCAGCGAGAAATGAATCGAAATGATTTATTGGCGAAGCGTTGTAAGCTGTGGCATCGTAACCGTACTTTTTAGGGGCGTGACGCTTTTTCGCCAGGGCGGGGTCCGCCTTTTCAGCTTCTGAATGAGGGATAATCATGCTACCACCAAGGGAATTTCCGGCAATTATGAGGCGGGTTATTTGGGACGAGGATGGAGGGTTATTGCCGTTGTGTGTTTGAATGGGAGGCTCGTTATATCCAAGAAGGTAATCTGTTAAGAGGGACAAGGCCAGTGTGTCTCCTGAAGTGCCGGTGATACCAAGACCGCTGACTAGGGCTATCCTTTTTCTTTTCCCTTCAGTTCCGTCGCTACTTTCTTCGAGAGAACTGCGCTTCCGCTTAGTAGGCTCTTGATGAGCAGATGACCTCTCCCAACGCTCGGGCTGAGGCGGTAGATCGGGTACCTTAATATCGATGACTTCAAAATCGCCATTGGCGTTCTCCGTGCCGAGGACTGCAACAATTGCGCCTGTGACGAGAAGAGATGATTGTAGTAAAGTTCCGGTCAGTTGCAAACGGCCTGACTCATCCTCTAGCATGGTCTTTGTCAATGATTGATTCGAAGAATCAACATATGTTTTTCGACTAGGAGGGGCTGCAGTCCAGTGCTAATTGTATTGTTAGATTGAATATAAAGCATGAGAATATATATAAGAGAAAGTAGCAACAAGTTCCCAAATATTGACTAGCTTACTTCTTTTGAAATGTCGTCTAGAATGTTAGGCTTCAAGGGAAGATCCATATAGATTGTGCCAGCGACCCAACATAGTTCGCCTTGCCGTACGTCAAGCACTCTGTCTACCCGCCTTGCATACTCTCCTGCAATCTAATACAAGGGGGCTCAAGTTAGCACACTTTAGGAAAATATAGCAAACATACCAGCTCTTAGCTCTTTCTGATGAAGGGGGATATTTCAACTCCGGCGCTGAGAAAAGCCGAAATCCAACCTTATTAAAGAAATGACATGAACATACATTAAACCCTTCCCATGAAGCGACCGCAATTTCTGTAACGGCAGGCTTCAACCTCGCCAATCGCAAAAAGTAAATGTCAGCATATTGCTGCTGATAGTGCCTCATTTCTCCCCGTGGCAAGACGAAGGTAGAGAGCGGGGAATATGCCGACGGCTGCCGATATACTGGTGCATATTCCTCATTATCACTATCGTGAATCAGGTGTCAGTTTTAAAACCCGTTCAAAAAGTTATCTCCGCCCTACGACCTGCTATGCTATCGTGTTGGAGCATGTTAGGGACGGCATACCTTGGCGGGCGGAGAAATTGCTCCGCAGGATTGTCTAGGGTCATCTTCTCAATCTGCTGGAAGAAGTCTTGGACTATGGGAAAGCAATCAAGAGATACGTAAAGCCTGCACGCTTCTCTGTTCGTCCGCGGGATTCAATATTCGTCGTCGTCGTTGGTTTTGGAGATAATATCACCGAAGGGCAAAAGCGACGCGACGTCCAATTATCCACGCGTTTTTGGTTTAGCGGCTGCGCCAACTTTGAGTAACTATCACATGATAAGTGGGATTTGTGGCACGTGCTCTACCCGCTATATCTTGACACGATAAGCGCGCTATCTATCTTGGAAACGGCGGCTGTATTCTTATGTATAATCCATGGATAGTAACCATCATGATCAATGCCTTTATTCAAGTCCAGGGTATTACTTTAGGTGTCAATGGCATGTGTTCGATTTGTGGTGGCTGCTGCTGAATACCGGGTACGTACCCCATGCCCACTTCATATCCTTAATTTTAGGGGGAAATACGCAACCCTGGAGGCGCAAGTGGACCTGGCAATGCGCCTAAATCTTGGTAGGCCCTAAAACCCAATTAACTACTTAACCTTCTCGTCAGGGGTAAAATAATTAGAACATGTCAGACGACGACGACACTGCAAAGAAGAGCGGAGAATTCACGTTTCATTCTTCTATTACATAGTGAGCATTTCAGGCCGGCGTTTAGCGGAGATATAATTATCATCTTTAGCGCTGAGTCGATCCGGCATACTGCTGAGATTAGCATTGCTGTTGGGGACTAAACTTAGGAGACCAATTAATCACCGGCGAGCACGTATGGAGTAAATAAGCAGCCCAGTCTGTACACAGGACAGGGGCAGCTGTTCTTCGGGAGGCCCAAACTCCGGCAAATTGGAAATGGAGAGAACGGGGGTTTCTTCAGCGGTGTTTAGGGGTCACTTTCGCTTTCCTTACCTAGATAGTGCTTGCAATTAACTATTGCTCCTAGAAGGCTGGAATAATCCCAGCCCGGGTCAAGCAAAAAAATGCCCACCACAAACGCCGATCCTGCAGCTATTTAGCGTGCTGCTTCCCCGCTTCAGGGTTGCTGCATATGGCTGGCGACTCTGCTCCCCTTCCCATTTACTCTCTCTCTCTCTCTCTCACACACACACACAACTGCAACAATGGCACTGCAATGGTTCTGAAAAATATGTCCTCTTCCCGACGCGTCAATCGATCCCATCTCCTGCCGAATGGCGAGAGACTGTTTTACATGTGTACTTCCATCTAATCCGTAGTCGATCCCCTATATTGCGCCCCTGATAAGCGGTATGTGAGCCATGCCTATAGTATGACACCTGACAACTGTCTAACGTATATCTTCCTAAACCAGCGCCTACAGTTCACCCAGCCCACTCCCGAACCATAAGAAGCATACATATTAATCTCCCAAAAAATCCCCCAGAATGAAGCTTTGCTTGTCCGCCCATTCCAGTGGCGGTGGATTAGGTGCAAACCTCTCCGTCATCACCACCATATATCTCCTCCTCGCTATCGTCGCCTTCACCATTGCCCTACCGATCACACAACAATCAGATTCAATCAGCACCGTTCAACTTCCAACGGTACGCGAACAGCGAAGTCTACCCGGGTCGCTTGCAACTGCTCCGGAAGGGGCGGTTGGGGACCCTCCTTCGCCAGTGTATGGATCAGAAGGTCATGATACAGAGCCAATGCCAACGAAGAAACCCGTATATTTCACATTGCTAGCGATTTCAGTGTTTGTGTGTTTTATTATTGTGCTATTAGAGAGGTTGTGATGGTTTCTTCTTCTCTTTTTTCTTTTAATTTTAATATCTCCCCCCCTTTTCTTTGCCTTTTTTCCTTTCTGCTTTCTTTACTCTCGGGCTTTCTTTGTATCATAACTGCTTCAAGTCCTTTGTCTTTATCCCCCCTTTTATTCATGCATTAACATAGCGAATCGGGTATGGCGTCAAGGGTAAGGGGTCTCTAGCTTGGAAGCGCGATGGACTTTTCATGGGTAGTTTGGACGGTGTGATATGTTGTGTCGAGGGAAAACATAAGCAATGGATCTTTTGCCGCCGTCACAAAGGGCATGTTTTTCGATACGCGAATGACAAAGCTGAGATATTCAGGGTCAAAGAAGCCGTGTTCACCACGATTGGTGGACAGGGGCATGTTTCCTAGCAATTTTGTCCCAGACGGATATAGCTAAAACTAGTATTTATGAATGAAATTCTAGTGGCCTGGTATTTTTTTCCATCATTGACAAGTGAAGAAAAAACATTCAGTGCGTAGTACCAGCAACAGATCCAAGTTAGAAAACCCAGGTTTCATGTCAACAATGAATCAGAAATTGACAGTATTATTTTCAGGGCTTGTCAACCAATCTTTTACGAAGACAGACAGGCCTGGAAGCTTGGGGTGATTTATTTAGTTCCAACTAACACCAAATTAAGGTTCCATGCAACTTCCAACATCATAGCCAACACTTGATATTACATTACAACAGAATTCTGTGTCTTTTCAGTGCCTATACAACGCGATAAAGAATGGGGTTAACAATATTTTCGAATTGTATGAAACGGAGGAGGGTACTTTTGTTTCCACACTTTAAAAAAGGATAAATACTTCGCTATTCTTTTCGCGTGGTCTTCGCTGAAGGGACAGAAAGCACCACAGGGCTCGCTGTCAGCTGTAGCTACACCCACCGCGAGTTCTATATATGCTCTACAAAACTAGGTGAAAATATTCCACTGAATATAATAAACAAGTGACATGGCCAACTTGCCATACTCTGTTGAAAAATGGCGTCAACATGTCGCAACGGACCCGTTGGAGGGTCACGATCTGTCGTCCCTCAATGACTCGGCAACAGCAGCTTCAATGGAGCCATCCTTTTGCACTGGGACAGGATTAGATATCCTGAGCAACTACATTTGTCCGGATATCGAGACAGCGGACCGGGAAGTCGTCTTCGTGACTTGCTTTTGGGCAACCGTGTCTGAATCTCGAGTACGACTCTGCGAAGCCCTCCGAATGCTGTCCAAAAAGATCGTCAAGAAAAGAGCAGCAGCTTCGCCACATACTACTACCGTTGAAAATATCAAAGTCTACATTTGTCTCTCATCAGTTTCCCTCCTACAGAAGTTACGACATACCGAATCCACAGCTGGATATGTTTACAACCCGACAGAATGGAACGAGCAGCTCAAACTCCCAATCCCGCAAGAGATCCCCGGACTAGATCTGACCGTCAAATCCATCTTCATCCGGCCCTTTTCCGTCATGCATCCCAAATTCGTCATCGTCGACCGGAAATTCGTCTGGCTGCCTAGCTGCAACGTCAGCTGGGAGTCATGGTATGAAGGCGCCTTTCGCCTGAAAGGCCGCAGCATCGTTGAGAAATTCCATAAATTCTGGACAGAGGTCTGGAACCCCGACGCGCAACAGCCACACGGAGCAGCTGTCGGAGGAATATCAACATTCCCGGCCACGGCAGATGTAACTCTCCCACCTCTCAAAGACCCACCAGCCAAATCGGCCGGTCAACTCGTAAAATCGTTCCCCAACACCCCCGCAAACAGAGAACTGCACACTCTTTTTCTCCCATCATCGCACCATCAAAACCCGGCTTTCCGCCCGGGCATTTTCCGCTTACCAAGATCGGAGCCGCGCACGCCGCTGAACGCCTTTACCAAGTTCCTGTTTGCGAATGCCGAGAGCGAGATATACATCATCACGCCCAATCTTACCGCGAAGCCTGTGATGCACGCGCTAGTGCAAGCGCTGGAACAGGGCGTCAAGGTCACCGTTGTAACGAACATGAATCTCATGGTGATGGAACAGCTAGCCACATCAGGGACGACGACAGCCCGCTGCATAAATTCGCTGATGAATTCACATAGACGCGTGCTGTGTGCGTGGGGAAAGAAGGAAACAGACGCGACGGATGCGACGAAGCCGGGTAAATTAACGGTTCGAGAATGGAAGGTCGCGAATTCCCGTCGGTATAATCTAGGGGGCGGAAGTGCGTTTGTCAAATCACATTTGAAGCTCACTGTTGTTGATGAGAGGGTGGTTCTCTTGGGCAGTGGGAATATGGATCGTGCCAGCTGGTATACGAGCCAGGAGGTTGGCGTTGCTCTGTATTCAGCTGAGGTCGCGAAGGAGATTCTCCATGAGGTACTGATGAGGGATGTGGAGAAACATAGTAGAACTATTTACGAGTCGTTCGAAGCTTGAGCTTGCTTCTTTTCGTTTTCCTGTCGCACCGTGGGATCTATCTATTTTTACTAATGGGAACAAACACTGTAATATTTAGAATATAGAATAATATAATTAGAATTAGAATTAGGCGCTAATGTTTAATTTCTGGTGTACACATCATTCCAAATGAGTGTGACAATATCGTCGCCAGCTTCGCTCAATACTTCAATTTGCGGATTCTGCTCAGGAGCTACTCAACAATACTACGGAAGCACCAATATCGAATTTATGATGGAAATCTGTTGAACGAGTTTAAAAAGATGTTTCTTAGGGATTTTACAGCAGTAGCAATGATATATACAGTACTCCGTACATAGTACAGCATAAAATAAGCATGACACACATTTTCGGCCCGGGAGAGTGGCGTCACGAGCGAGCCGAGGGCCGGGTCAGGTGATCTCACATGCCCTATCTATTTATTCCCAATCTGCAAATTTACCTGCAGGATATTGTTGGGTTTTGAAATAGTTTTCTTTTTTTATTGAGATTCCTGCGAGTTTCTTTTACATTATTGCTAGGGTACATGTTGCAGGGCTCTTTGTTGCCTACTTCTCTTCTCTTTGTTCCAGACTAAGATTAGTGTGATTGGTTTGGAGGAACATCTTTCTGGGAATATTGGAACCAAGCTAACTAACCTAGCCTCGGTGTAGGATAGTTTAATACTGCAGGCGAACGGTGAACCGCGGTCTAACAACTCCTCAAGACTGTGGGGAAGTGCAGCTCTTGAGAGGAGAAATGCGGGAGAGACTGCGCAACTGGAAAAGGACACTTAA